ATTTGAAGTTATAATTTCATAAGTGTCAAATATACAATTAACTTTAGACATTTAAAGAATTGATCGTCGAGTCCTTTTTTTATGAATATATGCTACATGATTTTCAATACCAATTAAAATTGTTGAGCGATGCTTATCAATTTCTTTATGAAAATTCACAAAAAGAGAGCTTATTCAAATTAGCTAATCAAACTATTACACAAATTTATGATTGTGAGTTAATAATAAACAAACATGTGACTATTTAATCGATACATCAGTTAAAGTTATAAAATCTCTAAATGGTCCACATAATTAGTGTATTTATTCACAAGGATCATATATTCTTAAAATGTGACAGACTCAATTCCTTAAATTTCCAACTTTATTTGAGAATTAATAACACATAAATTTAGGGGATTGAAGAGACTTATGATTCTACAAAATAATATGTTGCAATATTGTTAATTAATATAAAAATAAATGTTGTAACTTAAAAAAAAAAAAATGAGAAAAAGGATATGAAATTAAAACTAATTTTTTTTATTTTTTATATGTTTATTTTTCTTATGCAATTTTTTAATAATTCTGTAATAGTTTTCTCTTATTTTTATTTATTTAAAATAAGATATATGTTGCATTTGAAATAAATTAAAACAAATTATTCATATTTATACTTAAAATAAAAATCAAGTTGAATATTTGAAATAAATATAAATATGTTGCATTTAAATATAAATACATCGATATTTAAATAAAATTTAGGGAATTGAAGAAACTTATTTAAATTTTAAAACGCAACAAAATAAAATTCTACAAAATAAATTTGAAATAAAATACAATTATTGATATTTATTTAAATAAATTGGTATGATAGGTTTAAAAGGTTTCTTTTATGCTCAGATGCCTAGTCTTTTTAACTAAATAGACTTATAAAAAAAGTTTGAGTCTTTTTTTAGGCTAAAATACAGTTTTGATTCCCCTGTTTTGCAAAGCTCGCGAAAATAGTCCCTTTATTTTGCAAAACTCATGAAAATAGTCTCCATGTTTATTTTTTAAACAATTTTGGTCCCCCTAACTCACTTATCACCAAAAACACGCTGATGTGGATTTTTTTTATAAATACGTGGCTGACCAATGCTTACGTGGCAATATGCATATGTAAAATTTTCATTAATGAATATTTTTATAACATGAAACTTAACTTTTAATTATATTTTACTATTTTCTAAATTAAATGAAAACCATTTCTTGAATATACCTAAGTGAACAAAGAATAGAGAAGACATTCCTTGAATTGCAAACGAAGAACAGAGAAAACATTCCTTGAGCTGCAAATGAAGAACCACGTTTTGAACGAAGAACACTACGAACAAAGTGTAACAAGAAGGTTGAAGAATCACTAGGTATTCTCTGATTTGTTTAGCTTAGCGATTGTTGATGTTGTTGTTCCTTAACCCTAACTTCAAATCCTTAATTTTGTTGTTGTTGTTTTCTGATTTTATTCTGAATCAGCTTTGGAATGTCAATCCCTAACTTCGAAGCTATACCCTCAACTTGGACAAAGGAAGATCCGAATTTTTTTTCAAGGTGTGTATATGTAATTTCTGATGTTTACTATAAAGTATGATGTTAACTGTAATTTCTGATGTTAACTGTGTAGTATGTTTTGTATATGTTCTTTCTATGTAATTTCTGCCACAATTTATGTTCTGTTATGCTATGTAATTTGTGTTGTTGTTTGTTCTTTTTATTTTGGTGTAGGCCAACTAAGATAAACGTAGTTAAACTAAGAATTAATCATGGAGGGAATTTACTTCATTATCCTTGCAAGTTATATGTAGATGGAAAGGTAGATGAATTGAACTGGAAATGGGATTTCGGTTTGATGTCTTATATGGAGATTTTTGAAGTAATTAAGTTACTGGGTTATGTAAGAGTCAAATGTATATGGTACCATGATCCGAAGTTTTCACTTGAGCGTGGACTTAGGCCTATGAACAATTATAAAGATGTACTAAAATTTAGGGAAGATTTGGAAGGTTATGATTATGCTGATATCTACGTTGAGCATACAATCAATGAACCTGATGTTGTAACAGAAGATGAAGTCCATCCTAAGGATAAGGATGAAGACAATGTTGAGGAGATGAATGAAGTCCATACTGAGCAAAGAGATGAAGTTCAGGGTGAGCAAAGTGAGGAAGATGAGGATTTTGTCTAAGATCGTAATGATGATCCAGATGATAGTAAATTCAATAAGCTAGATGAATATGATTGGGATTGGACACATGAAGTGCCTAGCCATACATTCATGCAAGAAGTCGTAGCTAATGATGCAAACAATGTCTCTCAAACACTAGAACCAACAAAAGCATCTGATTTTGATGAAGATAATGAGGTTGACTCGGATGAACTAGAAACTGCACAACAAAGTGAAGAAGAATCTGATGAACATAAGTTTCCTAAATTTAGAATGCCTGATCGTGGTGAGGTATTGAGGCATGAGCTTGCAAAGACATTTGCGACAAAGCAGTTTATTAAAGATGTTGTCAATACATATGCAATGAAGAGGAAAAAAAACTTGCAATTCAAGAAAAATGATAGTAAAAGAATAGTTGTCAAGTGCAATAAAGAATGCCCTTTTTCACATGAGATTTAGTAAAAGGGTAGCCAACCAATTATGGAAGTTGGTGAGCCTGACCGATGATCATACTTGTCATAGGACCGCCAAGAATAGGAAAGCTAAAACTGAGTGGTTAGCTAAGAGGTTTATACCTCTCCTTAGACATATACCTGAAATGAGACCAAAAGGATTGAATGCAGAGTCACTTGAGAAGTAGGGTGTGAAGCTCTCATCAACTCAAGCATATAGGGTGTGAAGCAATGGCGCTAATTCAAGGTGTTGAGACTGAGCAGTATTCTAACTTGAGGAATTATGCTGAGGAATTAAGGAGATCTAATCCTAATAGTACAATGATTATTAAGTGTGGTGTGTCTGATATTGAACCTGCTTTTGAGAGAATATATGTATGTCTTGAGGGGTACAAAGTTGCATTCATATATACTTGCAGGCCTTTAATTGGTTTGGACGCGTGTTTCTTGAAGGGTGAGTAGGTGGTCAGTTAATGGCAGTAGTTAGGAAGGATGGAAATAATCAAATTTATCTGATTGCTTATTGTCGCACCTCGAAAATTCGTTCGAACATACGACCCTCGCGTAACCGACTCCCCAGCAGAGTCACCAGCTGTATGGAAATCATCACAGGTACATTGTTGGTGCCTTTGCGGTTAAGTCATGTCTCATCTCGCATATTGTTCATAACTCGGTTTGTTAATCTTGTGTCTTATTAATGCAGATCATGCTGCTATCATCATAGAATTGAGACACCGTCCGAACTTTGTAATGAAAATCGACCATTTCGCCAAGGTCAAATATCGATGATGACTCGTCTTCATGGGATTCTTCAACAGGAACTAGTTTACTCCAGCTCTTATCACATTTTTTGTAATTCTTGACAGATTCTAGGCTATAGTTAACATCTTATCTTGTTTTATCTTGTTTGTAAGAAGGTCTTGGAACCTTAATCTCAAAACAAGCATCACTGTAATGTTAATTGTTGCTTTTTATGGAATGTTTGGATGAAGTGGAGCCAAGGGCTAGTAATGTTGTTTTAATACTAGAACTGGTGTACTGATCAAGAGTTGAAATGTAGCATCATAGCTACCACAATCATCTGTGATACGTGCAACATATGCTCTGCCAAAATACTTGGCTTAATAGGCACCAGTATGCCTCACATGATTCTTTAATCAAATTTTGGGAAGACTCACACATTTGTAATAACTCAAGATAAAACAAATCGTGCGCTTGCAAACTCTTTGGCAAAGTCATGACCATATATGATCATACTTTGATGCATGAATCCACAAATGAATTAATCTTGAACGCAACCACTTGAACCATGATTAACCACAGTCCTCAATATGGAATTTCTTGAACAACTATCTTGAATCCATCCACAACCATCTTAAACTGGAACAAACTCTAATCTCAAATACACCCCACTTAAATTGTGCACACCCTGAACCCAATCATGAAACTAAACCTTGCATGCCCATATTGAGAACATCACTGCACACATAACTTGTACCCTGATTTAAATGTAGTTCGACCTTGCAATCTTTTGAGTTTAGTCAGCAAGCCAAGCAACATATTTTTGGATTTTGGAATAATGCCAGTGCACAAATATACAAAATGGAGGCTGTACAAAGGTAGGACAAATTTGGGGTATGACACTTATGTTGTGGTTGAAGCGGAGACAGGAGACTCGTGACAATGGTTTTTGGATCTATTACTAGAAGATCCGAATAATTTGTTGGAAAGGTCTTATGGTTTCATTTCAGACCAATAGAAGGTATAAAACTCTTACATATTTTTTGTTTGTTAATTTTGGGTGTTAGTTGTTATTAAATCTGTTATGCTTTTTATAGGGTTTGGTTTCATCTATTGCTAACCTTGGACCAAATGTAGAATACAGACTGTGTGATAAACATTTGTATAGGAGTTGGAAGAAAAAGTATGTATGTGTACACATAAAAGAGCTACTTTGGCAGGCAGCTAGAACAACAGTTGTTCCAGATTGGGAAAGAGCTATACGAAAGATAAAATCTATAAGTGAGGATGCTTGGAAAGACATGATGGAGATTCCACCTTCCATATGGGCTAGGTCTGCATTCCGCACAAATAGCCATTGTGATTTGCAGGTGAACAACATGTGTGAAGCATTCGACATGGCTATTTTAAAGTATAGAGATAAACACATCATTACTTTGCTTGAAGGGCTAAAGCATTACATAACGGTTATGATAGTTAAATAAAAAATTCTCATGAGTCGGTTCAGAAACACAATTTGTCTGAAGGTTGAATAAACTATAGAGAGGTTAAAGCGGGCAGCTGGAGGTTGGAAACCAACTTGGCATGGAGATGACGATTTCAATATTTTTAGTGTCACTAATGGCATGGACACTTATGAGGTAAAATTACAAAAACATCATTGTGCATGTCGTAAATGGGCTTTGAGTGGAATTTCATGTGTCCATTCCATTGTTTGTATCTTGCACAACAAAGCCAATGTTGACCCTTATGTTTCGGCTTACTACAGGTATTATGTTTCGCCTTTTGTGTTCAATTCTAATATAGTGTTCAATCCTGCTATTATGTTCAATTATGCTATTAGTGTTCAATCCTGCTATTAGTGTTAATTCCTGCTATTATGTTCAATTATGCTATTATGTTCAATCCTGTTATTATGTTAATTCTTACTATTATGTTCAATCTTGCTATTATGTTCAATTATGTTATTAATGTTAATTCATACTATTATGTTAATTCCTGCTATTATGTTCAATCCTGCTATTATGTTCAATTCTTCTATAAGTGTTCAATCCTGCTATTAGTGTTAATTCCTGCTATTATGTTCAATCATGCTATTAGTGTTCAATCCTGCTATTGATTCTGCACATATTCTAATATTGGTAACTGATATACATTTGTGTACTGTAGAAAAACAAGTTTTTTTTATTCTTATATACATTTGTGTACTGCAGAAAAAGCTCATATTGATTCTGATATACATTTGTGGCAACGTACATTTGGGAACTTATATTGATTCTGATATACATTTGTGTACTGCAGAAAAACAAGTTTTATTGATTCTTATATACATTTGTGTATTGCAGAAAAAGCTCATATTGATACTGATATACATTTGTGTACATTTGTGGCAACGTGCATTTGGGAACTTATATTGATTATGATATACATTTGTGTACTGTAGAAAAATAAGTTTTATGGCAACGTATTCATACATCATTCTCCCATCTAATGGTCCAAGACTTTGGGAAAAAGCTCAAGGGGATCCATTTAATCCACCGGTGATGAGACGAGCTCCCGGTAGACCGAAGAAGAAGAGAAATAAAGCTAATGATGAACCGAGTTCAAGTAATGTATTACCAAGGCATTCGTCAATTGTAAAGTGTAAGAGCTGTGGAAATTTCGAGCACAACTCGAGAACTTGCAAAGGAAAAACAACGGCGAACCGACAATTGCCCAAAGGAGGTAACAAGGCAAAGAAGCAAAAGAAAGGTCTGACAAAAGAACCACCAACCGTGTTGACACAGGGCTCATAAGCGCTACAAACACAAGACTAATGTAGTATTTTAGCTCACTTTTATGAATATGATTACAACTTTAATGTGTAACCTTTAATGTAGGATATGTAAAATGCTATCTTTTTTTTGAAGAGATTTACAACTTTAATGTGTAACCTTTAATGTAAGATGCTATAACTTTTTGGATGAATATCTTTTAAGGTGATAAAGTAACAGAACTACAAGTCTTATTTAATGTAAATACCTTTTTGGATGATTACTTTAATGTGTAACAAGTCTTATTGTCTCAAATTACTATTGTCATAGAAGAATTATGAATAACATAGGTAACATCGACAACATTATCAAAATATTGTATCGCAACAGAAAAATTACGGAATGTATTATGTTATTAGAACATTGTATCAAAACAAAATAATTATGGGTTGTATTATGTTATTAGTGAATTATGAATGGACAGAACCAAAGTGACAAAAGAATTGTATCACAACATTGTTAAAACATTATTACATTAATAACATAGGTTACATTGTCACATTAACGACGTCGATAACATTGTTACATTAACAACATAGGTAACACCTTGCAAAATAACACCAAATTAACACCAATTGAACTCAAACTTTACTACAATAACCTTACAAGATTAACCTCAACCTTACAACAATGACATCTAAACTTAAACAAATCCTTTTGTGATTAACATGATGATAAAAAATCAAGATAGAATCAACAACATAATCAACAACTTGTTCTTATTGTTCATGTCATCATCACTCTTCTTTGTTAAACTATCTTTCTTTTTCAACTCATTAACCTTCTTCAAAAGCGAGTTAATAACTTCCTTTGACCATTTCGGAATCTTATCATCGTACCAATCAAAAAAAGAACAACCTTTCCTCCCTTGTAACTGAATGAAACATATGAGAAATTAGGGTTACAGTTACCAAAAAACGTTCAGAAGATGAATTAATTAAAAATTAGGGTTTTATACGCACCTTGAATAACCCACAACCATAGAACCTCCTACTTGAATTCTCAGATGTCCACGCAATAGCAAGTGGTGAATCAAACCCACAATAGCATTGGATCCTTCTCCTCCTAGAATGAGATGAAGAACTTGAAATTTCCACAGACTCAGAACCCATTACACCAGACACAAATTAGGGCAAAAATTATGAACACGAAGACGAGATGAAACAAAGCTGACAACGATAGTGAACTGATATAATGAAGCTGACAACGATGATGAAGATCATGTAACGAAGCTGAGACAACGATGACGAATAATGACCTAAATTTCCTTTTTAAATAGACATTTAAAAAATATCTTTTTTTTTTAATTTTTCTTAATTAAATAGTGACATGACCTGAAATTAAATCCACGTGTAAGCATTGATCAGCCACATACTTAAAAAATTGCCACATCAGTGTGTTTTTGGTGATAAATGAGCTAGGGGGCCAAAACTGTTTAAAAAATAAAGAGGGGGCTATTTTGTGTGTTTGGCAAAACAGGAGGACCAAAACTGTATTTTAGTCTTTTTTTTATTTAAAAAAAACATGGCCTGACTTAAATCTGTGTAGGTTATGCCTTAGACCTCTGTTAGTTGACTTGATCTATTTCCACCCTTACTTATAGTCTGATATTCCTACACATCTACCAGCTATGCATATTCAAGATACATTAATAATTTTAATTTTAATTTTCTTTGGTTCAACTTATTAAGGTGAAAAAATATACAAGAAAAGGGGTTGAATTGTGTAAGTCAAAATATTAAAACTCTTTTCACTAACTGTTTTTGAACCATCAGATTCTGAATCACATTCAGAGCCCGATGTCAGAGTGAAGAAATCAGTGAAAAGTTTACTTCCTTTTCTTAACTCTGCTTCTAAACAAGAGGTGTCAAGCTTAGATTCTGATGCAGGTAAGAGACTAAATCAGATTAGAGTCTGACATCAGAGTATGTTTTCACAACGGAATATTAATACAGAAGAAAATAAAGAGACATACAATATATCCTGGTTCTTCTCAATTGAGAGTACTCTAGTCTCCTTGCAGCACAAGGGGTTTTAACTATAATTAAGCTGATTACAATTGCTTAAACCAAGAGATCAAGACTTCTTGCTCAATCCCACGGAAAAAGACTTTTGCTCAAGCCCGCAAGCGTGAGACGTCCTTACCCAAACTTCCTGTTTAGGACTTCCTGCTCAATCACCTAGATTGAGACTTCCTTACTTAAACTCCCTGTTCAAGACTTCCTGCTCAATCACCCAGATTGAGACTTCCTTGACTGAACTCCCTGTTTATCTTTGATGACAAAGATACTTTTGTATATTTGTGAGAAAAATGAGAAGGAATGAGAAAAAAGGTAATGTTGTTTTTTCTAAAGGTCCCTATTTATAGGCTCTTACTCCAACAATCACATTTCATCCCAAGATTCGTGTCCCAACATCCATGAAGAGGGAGAAGAGAGATTTAAATTTTGAATTTTAAAATAAAACTCCACTAATTTAATTATCCATCCACCCAAATAATTATCACATTAGGATATCATTTATTTAAGTCAAACTTTTAATTACATGAGTCATAATTATTGGATTAAAAAATTAATCCAACACTAACAACAATATTAATATGCATTAAGAGTATTAATTAATTAACGTTAAAAGTTTATCGGAAGATAATGCATTGAGCATTCATAATATATTATTCATAACATTATTAAATTTATGGATCATTTTGACTTTTTTTTTTTTTAAGTAAGTGATTATTTTAATTAGAGTTTAATTTAGCCTAACTCATATATACAAACTTAATTTGTAATATGAAATGCGTCACTCTATATAAATTATTTACAAATTCTATCTGTAATAAATGTGAGATTTGAAGTTTTTCTAATACATCTTTTACGTAGACGATTATTGAATTTAACGCGAAGATATAAATGTGTTGGTATTGATTGAAAATATAGATATTAATTAAATTTGACATTGCTTAGTTTTGTATAAAAAAAAAAGTCTAAAACTATATAAAACATTCAAATTCTTTGTTACAATTTAAATTTATTTTTAACTTTTTTTTTGTTCTCTTATACTTTTGTGTTAAGTATTATGATATGCATTTAAATATTTATTTTAGAAATGTGAATGTTGTAACATGTAATTAAATATTTCTTTTGAGATGTGGTAAAGATAATGACCGTATCAGTGATTATTTTACATAATGTAGAAATCTAAGTTTAAATTTAAAATTCTTTATTTTTTACATTTAAGGTGTAATAGCATAGTCACTAAATAATTTGTTTTTTTAATAAATTAAAATATACAAATTTGTTTAAATATATGAGAAGATGCTCCTTATATATTGTCCACCATTACATTTAAAATACACATTATGTTTGAAATAGTATAATATTTCTGAGTATAAGAAACCGTAGACTTTTCATAAATAGTTTTTTATATCAACTAGGTGTCTTTTACACAACTTTATATTTGTTAATTATGTATAGTTTTAACTATATATTATATAAAATTTGACTAATCTAATGTGACGGTGACTCTCATTCTCACATAAAATTTTCTAATTAAATTAAAAGAAATATTTTTCATTTTATCTAAATATTCTATTTGATACATGACATTCGATAAATAACTAAAGTCATTGACGTGAATATTTTCACATCTTAGTAAGAGTTTCTATAAACTTCTCTTTTTGTTAAAGAATCGTATCTTTCTAAACTTGTTGCTTAGCAAATTAATGAACGGTTGTGTTTTTATATTCGATCTTGCGTGTGTGGTGGTTGGTGGTAATGTAATATATGCTCCCAATTTCAACGGCTGGTATAGGTGAATTTTTCTTTTTAATTATGTCTTACACAAACTAGTTCTTAGTAGGGTATAGCAAAATAAGAAGATTTGTTTTCTCTAGGATTGAGATTCTAGAATTTAATTTTTTTTTTTATATTTCATTTGTGAAAAAGCATACACGATTTGAGATTGAAGATTATGGAAGAGATTATATAATTGGGGTTGAAATTGAGTCAAGTTGTATTTCAAAATTTTGAAGGTGTCAAGATTTAAAGTTCTCTTATAGATTAAATTAGAGGTCGAAGACATTTGATTCATAACAGATTCAGTTAGCAAAAGGTCTAATAAAAACGATTAAATTCAGAAATTCAATCAACCAAAACGCTATACTAATTGATATATAAGTGAATCTCCACTTTAGAGCATCATACAGAAGCACATTTTCTCTCTCCATCTCAACAATTCATATGTATTTAATGAATTTTTGCACTCCACGTCAGATCAATTAAAAATAGTTATAAGTGTCTTTCATATACAATAGTGCTTCTAAATCACGTCCAAATATCTCCTCACTCATACTTGTGCAATAGTTTTGTATCTGTCAAATACTAACTTTAGTATTAGAGTGTTAATATTGCAAGCATGCCTCGCTGATCATTAGAGAACATAACTACCGCATCATAATTTTTTTGATGAAGATCATTTTCAACCTCTCACTTCATTTTGTTCAAATACATAATTGTGAGATATTGGATCGAACTCTAGTATGGTCGAAGGGTAGCTTCTGGTTTGACAAGAATTAAGTATGAGATCGAAGTCTGTTCGCATGCTGTTGCTGAAGATAATGCGTGTTGTAGTCGAAGTCTGTTCTAACATGCATTAGTCAATATTGCTAGGTTGTTAGCATATTGGATTGGGCCTTGCTTGTAAGCCCAAGTGTTTAAGTTAGCTTGTACCCTAAGTTAGTTTGTAATGAGTAATTGTTAAAAAAACTCATTAGGTTAGTGTGCTATTTTTCTTATAAATAGGATGTTAATTTCTCAATCTTGGTATAAGGAAAAATAGGAAGATAAAATCCTAATTTCAAAAGAGAGAGGTTATTTTGTTATTCTTATATACTTGTAATCTTGTTCTAAGAGAAAAGAAAGAATAACAGTTTAATAATCAATCCTTGTTGTTCCTTGTTGTTTTACCTTGTTATCTTTGTTAAC